TTCCCACATCTCTCACATCAGCATTTCTTGATTTCTCAGAAATCAAATTTCTTAACAGCATTGCCCCTCTCCCAGCTTTCTAGGATTAGTCTTATTTTAGTTATAATCATACCCCTGACCTCTTGTCCCCCAAAACAAAACAAAAAAAAGCACTTCCCCCACTGCGTGTGTGTGCGCACGTGCGTGTGTGGAGAACTTAGAAACTGATTGCTGCCCTTTATGCAAAACCACCTCAGAATCCAGTTTACCCTGTGCTGTCCAGCTTCTCCCTTGGGAAAAAGTCTCTCCTGTTTCTCTTTCCTCCTTCCACCTCCACCCCCTCACCACCTCACACCTTTCTGTTCCTTGTCCTCACCTTACTCCCCTCAGGACCCCACCCACCCTCTTTGAAAAGACAAAGCTCTGCCTACATAGAAGACTTTTTTATTTTAACCAAAGTTACTGTTGTTTACAGTGAGTTTGGGGGGAAAAATGGCTTTCCCAGTCCTTGCATCAATGGGACACCACATTTCATAACTGTTTTTAATGGTTAAAAAGGAAAAAAATACAAAAAAAAACTGAAGGACAAAAAAGGTGACTGCTGAACTGCGTGGTTTATTGTTGTACATTCACAGTCTTGCAGAAGCCAAGAAGTTCGCAGTTGTGAACAGACCGTGTTCGCTGGAGAGGCCCATGCAGTAGAGTGTAGACCCTTTCATGTAGTGTACTGTCCTGTACACCTGATACTGTAAACATATTGTAATAATAGTGTCTCACATGGAAACGAGAAAACGCTGGGTCAGCAGCAAGCTGTAGTTTTTAAAAGTGTTTTTAGTTAAACATTGAGGAGGAAAAAAAAAAGGCTTTTCCCCCCAAAGTATGATGTGTGAACCTACAACACCCTGACCTCTTTCTCTCTTCCTTGATTGTATGAATAACCCTGAGATCACCTCTTAGAATTGGTTTTAACCTTTAGCTGCAGTGGCTGCACTGCCACGAGTGTATATATATGACTTTGTACATTGCACATACCCTTGAATCCCTACAGTTTGGTCCTCCTCCCAGCTACCCCTTTATAGTATGACAAGTTAACAAGTTGGTGACCTGCTAAGCGAGACACAACTATTTAATCTCTGGCCAGACATCACCCCTTTTGGCTTGATGCTGTGCAGGTCTCTAAAGTCCTTGCTGTTGTCTCAGCAGCCAGTCAACTTATAGTTTATTTTTTTCTGGGTTTTTGTTTTGTTTTCCTTCTAATCGAGGTGTGAAAAAGTTCTAGATTCAATTGAAGTTCTGATGAAGAAACACAATTGAGATTTTTTTCAGTGATAAAATCTGCCTATTTTTATTTCAACAATGTAGCTAAAGCTTGATGTAAATTCCTCCTTTTTTTCCTTTTTTGGCTTAATGAATATCATTTATTCAGTATGAAATTTTTATACTATATGTTCCATGTGTTAAGCATAAATGTACATTAAATCTTAAAACAATTTTTTTTAATTTAAAATGTTTAATTTAATGCTTATTAAATTTAGTGTGAACTTACCAACTCTGATTTTTACTACCCTTCCAAAAGTAATGGCCCTTACCATATTTTAATTTAGTTAAATATCACCAACTTTTCAGGCTACCACTTCTTACTGACACAAATCCTGTTTTCCCTTATACCTGGATTGCCTTCCCATTATTTGCCTTTCAGAAGCTTTTCCTATTTAAAAACCCATCTCAATCTCCAACCCTTCCTTGTTGTTTCCCCACTTAAATCATTGTGACTTTTTCTCCTATCTTTACATTCCCCTGTGTACTCTGTACTTTTTAACTTTAAAGTTATTTGTATTCATTCATCTTCTGATTTCTGAGCTTTCTGAAGTTTAGATTAAAAAGAAATGTCATAAGGCCGGGCGCGGTGGCTCAAGCCTGTAATCCCAGCACTGTCGGAGGCCGAGGCGGGTGGATCATGAGGTCAAGAGATCGAGACCATCCTGGTCAACATGGTGAAACCCCGTCTCTACTAAAAATACAAAAATTAGCTGGGCATGGTGGCACGTGCCTGTAATCCCAGCTACTCAGGAGGCTGAGGCAGGAGAATTGCCTGAACCCAGGAGGCGGAGGTTGCGGTGAGCCGAGATCGTGCCATTGCACTCCAGCCTGGGTAACAAGAGTGAAACTCCGTCTCGGAAAAAAAAAAAAAAAAAAAAGAAATGTCATAATACATGTTATTTTTCTTTCATTTTTTGTTTCCTTTTCATTAATGATTTCTTTTCCTCCAGTTTCTGTCTTTTAGATTTAACAAACATGAATTGATCGACTTTCATTTGCTCAGGCAGTGTGCCAGATGCCTTTTAAGATATATTCTAAATATATCCTTATATTTAGTTGTATTTAATCCTTAGATTAACCTACAACATAGGTATTTTGCAAGTTGTTGGTACAGAAGGTCCTTGATATCCAAGTGGTCATTAATCCATGTAATGCATGGAGAAGCAAAAATTCCCAAACAAGAACATTGACTAATAAATCAATCATTTATAAAATTAGGCTCTACTCACCACTCTTCCTAAATAACTGTAGCTGTTATTTGCCCATTCACTACATCATTGTCCTTCTCTGTCACTCTCTTGCTAATACAGTGCAAATACAGCACAAACCAAAATGAAATTGGATACTTTGCAAAAGGTGAGAAACTTCATGAAGTCTGTTAAACTGCAAGAGAATGACATTAGTCATCTACAGAATTGACAGATGAGTATCCAGCAGAATTAACCACTGAAGAAAAAAGTGATGACTCATAGGCAGGCACTTCAAAAAAGAATAATTTGAGTAACAAAGAATTAAGAGAGGCCCTTTAGAAAATTATTTCAATAAGCCTTTGAAACAAAATGACCCATTTTGTGACCAGGTGAATTTCAGAGCCAAAGGATGTTGCACCATTGTGTAGTTAGAAAAGATAGACCAAAAACTAAAGCATATTAAAGTCATTAACTATTTTTTTAAAAGAACTAATTTTTACAGGTTTTAGTTTCACATTTCAGGTTGAAGTGCAATCAACCTTTTATTTTTTTTACCATTAGTATTTACTATAAAATATTTTGACCTGTTTTAAATCAATTTCAGTACCAATTATCCTTGGGTACTAAGGGCCTCTTTTATCCACCTTCCACAGCCAAGATAGCATCAGATTGCCTTGTGTATGAACTCAGTATAAGCTTTCTTAGTGTAAAGTTAGTTTCCCAATTAACAATATATATTCCTTTTTTTTTTTTTTTTTTTTTTTTTTTTTTTTTTGAGACAGAGTTTCGCTCTTGTTACCCAGGCTGGAGTGCAGTGGCGTGATCTTGGCTCACCACAACCTCCACCTCCTGGGTTCAAGCAATTCTCCTGCCTCAGCCTCCTGAGTAGCTGGGACTACAAGCGTGCACCACCATGCCCAGCTAATTTTTGTATTTTTAGTAGAGACGGGGTTTCACCTTGTTGACCAGGTGATCCACCCACCTCGGCCTCCCAAAGTGCTGGGATTATAGGCGTGAGCCACCGCACCCGGCCTATAAAATTTTTTTTAACTTTGGAGTTTTGTTTCATTCTTCATTCTGAGTACTTATGTTCTTTACTTTTGGTAAGAAAGTTGGTGTTACTTCTGTGTGCTATATAAACTCTTATTGCTAGGACCATGAATGAGGTAAGACCTAAACGCCCCTTCTCAAAGGAAGCCCTGTTTCTGTTTTGCCCAACATGCCCAGGTATTACACCATGCCACTTTATCTTGGCAGTTCCTTCTGCAAACCTCTGCACACTGGTGTAGTTATTTCTGTCCATCTACTGCCAAAGGTCCTTGATTTACCATTCAGTGGGTATACACTAATGAAATCTGATTAGATATTTACTCTTGTAATATTAGCATACTAAAGATCCTAAATTTAGGAGGATTTGGGGGGGAAAAATATTGGGTGGTCTTGAGAAAAAAATACTCTTATCAGAATTACTTTCTGCTTCAGAAATTTAAAGAAATATTTTAGGATTTAGGCCCGTTCTGTAGTCCTGTGCTAATTTATTCCACTGTTCTGGGGGGAGTAAGGATAGGTTCAGTCTTAAATATGAAGGGAAGACATTTTAGAGCTATAGATCCTCTTTAAAGAAAAAGTTTCGGCTGGGTGTAGTAGCTCACGTTTTTAATCCCAGCACTTTGGGAGGCTCAGATGGGCAGATTACTTGAGGTCAGGAGTTTGAGACCAGCCTGACCAACATGGAGAAACCCTATCTCTAATAAAAATACAAAACTGTCCAGATACGGTTGTGGGCATCTGTAATCCCAGCTATTTAGAAGGCGGAGGCAGGAAAATCCATTGAACCTGGAAGCTGGAGGTTGTAGTGAGCCAAGATCACGCCACTGCACTCCAGCCTGGGCATCAGGGGGAGAAAGTTCCTCACTTACAGCCAGAGGTTTGAGACCAGCCTGGCAACATAGTGAGAGCTCATCTCTAAAAAATAAAAAAATAGCTGAGTATGGTGGGAGGTGCCTGTGGTCCCAGCTACTACTTGGGAGACTGAGGTAAGAGGATTGCTTGAGCCCGGGATTTTGAGGTTGCAGTGAGCTGTGATCATGTCACTGCACACTCCAGCCAGGGCAACAAAACAAGACCCTGTCTTTAAGAAAAAAAAAAAAAGGAAAAAAATCTCTTAAATGTTTAAAACTAGGCTAATATTAATATCTACAGTATGTGATAGGAATATTGTAGTTGGAAAATGGGAGACTAATAGATTTTCTCATGTTTTATTATCTCTTATTAGAGCATAAATGTGAATGTTGTTCCTTCTCCCAAATTGGTACATTTCCCTTTCATTATCTTTCTGCATGGATAAAAGGTAACTCAGAATATATTCTAAAAATGGAATCTTCAGAATCTTCATGAATCAGAGTTGTAGTAATCTCATGTCTGTGATTTGATGAAAAGTTACAAAAATAAGCACTTTGGAAAATGTCTGTCTTCATATCCTCATTAGGAAACTTCTCTTTAATTTTGTAGTCAAATCAGAAAATTAATGCCCGTTGGACCACAGAGGAGCAGCTTCTAGCAGTGCAAGGTATATTAAAGATAAGCAGTTACTGTTGTTAATAATTATTTAATTTGTCATGAAAGGTGACTACCCTAGTTCTTCCCTTCCTTTAGAAATTGATCCAGAAAGGGCTCTTGTGTTTATCACAAAGTCCTGGTGACCAGGAATTCTGTGTTGTATTTGTGGATGTGACATATTCAAGTCTATGTGCATTTTGAGTCCTGAACAGCACGTAATGTATTCTCAGCACCAAATAATTGATGATGATGATTAAGCATGAAAAAGTCACATGGGCTCTTTGTGCTTCTCCTTTGATATTCCTGCAATTGGATTCGTTCTTACTGTATATCATTCATTGATAACTTATAGTCAAAAGCATAAATAAGCTATAGTATGTTTCTGATTACTCTGTAAAATAATGTTTATCTGATAAATGTCAGGTATTGAAAATATTAACTACATGCTTAACTTTCAGTGTTACATACTTCCCTTAAGAGATGTACCACTAAATGCTTAGAAACCTGATTTAAAATAGATTTTTAAAAAGAGACTTAAGAGAGATATCAAAAATTCACATACAGCATTTTAAATGCACTATTTCTAAGAATGTTTTGTTGAATTATATGGCAGAAAGCTTTTTGTATTATGAACACCCGTGGGCAACTGGGAAGCATTATAAACTTGGATTTTCTCATGTTTAAATTACTTAAAGACAAATTATATATTTTTATTCATTGTTATGGATTTTTTTTTCCTCTTTATGATAAATTATGTGCAGGTCCAATTGTACAATTTAAAGTTTGATCTATATTTTGTTTCTTCCTGGCTGAGCACTTCTTTGTGTTGAGTGCTAGTAGTTTTTTTATCTAGGTTAACCACTGTGAGAGAGTGGGGCCCCAGTGAAACATATAAGCATACCTTTTAAAACCTTGCCAGATAGTCTAAAGAGGACATATTTAATACAAAAATGCTTTGCAAGCATCATTCCGGTTGATTAACTGATAGATGACTCTGCAGTTTCGATTGGAGAGAGTAAGAATTAGCCAGCCAGCATGATTTGAAAATGTCACAGGAGGGTGCCAGCAGGATGATGTCAGCCTTTGCTTTGGCCTGTGCAGCATAGCACAGTCATTTCATAAAGAATTGATACTATGACACAGGGTGCTGGATGTGCATTGAGCACATCTGTAATTGTAGAACTGAGTTTCTGAATGAGTCAGAACAAGGTTTAATTAGTTCATAATGTTTAAAAATCGCTGTTTTTAAATTAAACTCTGCTAATTTAAATTATTGTTTAAAAAATTAGTGAACATTTTCAGTGGCTGCTTTATATTCATTTAGAGCTATGGTCTGCAGATTTAGTATAGTCATTTTGAATAGGCGTTGTTTTATTCATGTAAAGCCTATATATTTCTCTCTATCATCGTAGCCTGGTGAAAACTGCACCTGGTTTCCAGTATTCAGTTGTTTGAAGATTAGTATGTTAACTCTGTATTTTTAAGAAATTATCCCAATGAAAGAATTTTCTGAAAAGGATGTCATAGGAAAGTCTAGGCTAATACTTTTCTATACAGCACTCAGGATTTGATACTGCTCTACAGCAGTACTTTAAGTGAGAGAGTCCATTGAATCTTATGGCTGGGTTGGATATTCAAAGCTGCATTCAATGGAAGAATAGTGCTAATATCTAAATATATAGTTTGAACTATATATGTAGACATAATTAAATATTAAAAGAATGAAATAGTCGTATGTATAACCAAACATTTCCTCTGTGCTGAGGTATATTCAGTATTATACTATGTATATTTAAAAAGTAACCCTTTAAGTTACACTAATACAACAGTTTGTATGGAAGTACACCTGTTCTCAGGATTTCAAAGGTACTTTCTTAAAAATGTGTTAATGGTGTTAATGTCTCTGTTTTATTTTTATTCTTTGGATTTTTTTGTCTTCATTTGTAGGTTTTTGTTGTTGTTACGTAAAATAAAACAATAGAAGGACATTTGTGCCCAAAATAGCTATTTTAAAGAGAATTTAAAAGTGTCATATTGTCTTATGTGCCCGTGTATTTATATAGTGCTCAGAAGTGTGTCTTTAAAATAGTATAATCATGTAGTAATGTCCCTTGTACCTGAATTTCAGTGCAGCTAAGATACATAATTGCAGGGTCTTTTAATACACAGTTTACTATCTAGAAGTACTTCTCTTAGCGGGCTGGTTTTTTTTTTTTAATCTCTATGGTAAACCTTTATGTATACTATTCTAATGGCCAATTTAGTTTTACAAAGTAATAAACTGTGTTTTGATATTAACATGTTTTACTTTGTATATCACTGTATATTCAAGACATTTTACACATATATTTCTGATTTGACACTTACTTGTTAAATGCTTTATTTTATCTGGCTCATAGTAGAATACTATTACGGTGACCTGCAGAAAAAAATGTTGACTCTGGTGCAATTAGTGAGATTTACAACTTTACTATTAAATAAGCTTTTTTGTTACAACTCTTTTTAAACCAAGCATATTAAGATCATTTTCTTTCCCAAGGCTTAAATATGTATTTCCCACCTTACTTTCCTGTTCCATCTACTCATACTGTTGTTAAATAAATGTTAGTCATTTAAATAAGTTTCCCTTCTTTTTCACTTAATTAGAAGAGAGGGAAAACCGTGCTCAGATCAAATAGCAATGTCTGTTTACACTTTTGTAATCAGTCACTTTATTATGTTAATTCCAGTTCTACCTATGTTATAATTTTAATAGAATTTTTCAAGAGTCTCCAGGGAGGATATCATTAATACTGCTAATTTAATCCTCTTAAAATATTTACCAGGAAAGGTACTTCTACAGTTTCTGTCATGTGTTCCAACCCTAAGTATCTAAATTTTTATTATGACCAAATTTCATTATGACCAATAATGATCTTTCCCTATTGTGTTAATGGTAAAATGTTCCTGTTTGTAGCACGTATGTGTGTGTGTGTGTGTGTGTGTGTGTGTGTGTGTGTGTGTGTATTTTTTTTTCCCTAACCTTATAATGCTTTTAGAAGTTATCCTAAAATCCAACTTGATATTCATATGATAAACAGAATTCAGAAATTAAGAATTTCAAAAGGGGCTGGGCGTGGTGGCTCACACCTGTAATCCCAGCGCTTTGGGAGGCCAAGGCAAGTGGATCACTTGAGGCCAAGAGTTTGAGACCAGCCTGGACAACATGGTGAAACCCTAACTCCACTAAAAAAAAAATTAGCCAGGTATGGTGGCATGCACCTGTAGTCTCCTGAGGCAGGAGAATTGCTCAAACCTGGGAGGTGGAGGTTGCAGTGAGCCGAGATCACACCACTGCCTTCCAGCCTCAGCAACAGAGTGAAACTCTTGACTCAAAAAAAAAATTTAAAAAGGAATTAGGTTATTCTACATGTATCTTTCTTCCATGTAAAATGGAACAATGATGAGCTGTTTTCAAAAAAACAATGCATTTATAGTACAAAACACTTTTTAAAGTATGTAGAGGCTAGAAGTATGGTATACAGTATTTGCCATTTTAATTATAAGTCACCTCTTAAATATATTTGTTTCCTAGTCATTAGTGCTTAAGAAAAAAATGCTTCCCAATTAAAATTTATGCTACTTTAGGATAAACAACAAAATTTTTTCAGTTTTATAAAGATGTTAACTTTAGTTTTTTTTTTATAATTACTACCTTTTTATATAAAACAGAAAATGACAGAACTGTGTTCAGGTGACTTATGCTTATAGTGAAAGTTACCTTCTCTTATATTTCATTCACCTTTTAAAGACAAAGTTGCAAGTCTAGAAATTGTTATCTTTCTAATTTTATCTCATACTAACAAAAAGGTTTGTAAAGGAGAAAAAATAGATTTGGCAGTTGATTAAAAATAAAAGGATGGTAACAGTACATGAATGATCAAAAGGAAGCGGAATGAGGAAATTCATATCTTTCCATCTGAAAAGCACTCTTTTGCTTTAGAGATTATTTTTGTTACAGCAGATACCGTAAGAACGGAGGTTCAAAAATATAATTGTCAGCCCTCTGATACACTTACATTAAATGATCAGTGGTTCCAAATTTCCAGCATTTTTGTAATGGAATGTAACTTATGTGATTTTGGCTTTTAGCCCCTTCCATATATACATCAGTCACTGTTCCGTTGCTATTGATACGTCTTCCACCTTCTAGTACGGAATTCTTGAAGAGATTTGCAGGAGTTAGAGAGAAATGCACAGTCCCAAATGGCTTAAGTTTAAAATGTATGTCTTAATGATAGAAAAGAATCATATCTCTGGAGTTGCTAGATGTTCTTAGATTTCTATTATTTCAAAAATATATGTTTGAAAAAATTAATGTTTCACAGTTAAACTAAGTACATGTTCACTTTAAGAAATTTTATTGTGAAAGCCAGAAAAAAATCCTCTGAAATTTCACTAACTATAAGCAGCTTACCATATTTCGTCTTTTGGGGTTGTGTTTTTTGTTTGTTTATTTGTTTGTTTGTTTTGGAGATAGAGTCTCACTTTGTCATCCAGGCTGGAGCTCAATGACAGTATCTTGGCTCACTGCAACCTCCACCTCCCAGGTTTAAGCAATTCCCATGCCTCAGCATACCTAAGTAGCTGGGACTACTATGCCTGGCTATTTTTTGTGTTTTAATAGAAGCTGGGTTTTGCCATGTTGGCCAGGCTGGTCTTTTCCTGACTTCAAGTGATCTGTCTGCCTTGGCTTCCCAAAGTGTTGGGATTATAGGCATTAGCCACCATGCCTGGCCCCAAAATCTAATTTTAAAAAAATTGTTTTAAACTTACCAAAGGCAACTATTCATGCTATCTCTTCTAGCTTAAAAAGGAAAGTTTCAGATTCAGTTTTTAGAGTGGGGAAACATCATATAAATTCTCCTGATGTTATCACCTTCTTACCAGCCAAAAATTAAAAAATATATATGGACAGACTCTACTAATTCAGAATGTCTGATAATTGAGATAATGACTATGCTAAAGTCTCTACTGCTAATAAAAATATCTTCTTTGGCAATTTTAAAGTATTAACAAGACATGTTTTTTAAAAAAGTATGCTTTTGCATTGAGTAACTTAGATTCCTGGTTGGAGTATGTGGGCTTTCATAAAATGTAATGATAACAGGATATCCTAATGAGTTATATTTTTATGTTAATTGCCAAATAAAACTTTACATATTAAAGATTATAAGGTATCATCTGCCAGCATAGAAAGCCAAGTTGTTTCATTGTAACTTTCAAATGAAATTTAGAAATTTGACTGAAAACAATTTTTTTCTCTTCCTAGGAAACATTATTTGCCTGTTCTAGAGTAATTAGATGTTTATTCCACTAACCTTTGAAAGCAACCTCTTGCCATAGAAGTGAGGCTTTAACAACTATGGTTCAAGTGTACCTTTTACATGAGGTTGACTTAATCATCATATTTAGCTCTCTTCCTGAGAAAGCAATCTGATCACTTTATTATCAACTATGAAAATATAGTGGAGTGTCCTTTCCCCAAGGACAAATTGAAACTAGGGTAGCTCTGATGCCATAAGTTGTTAAAGTTAGTTGCTGCTCATCACTACCACCTGCTAGTTGTTCCAGAAGCCTAGCTGTAGATAATTTTTAAAGAGCAGACTCATCAAGTCAGTTGGAGTTTCACTAGTTTGCCTAATTGCTAGCAACAGTATAGAGCTTAAGATCTTCTAACCAAAATGCTGTTGAACTGTGCCATTCTGAGTGTGACAGTGATAAATAATTCAGCCATATATGTCTCTTGTGGTTTAGGGAAGAATAAGCTTTATAGGGAAGAAAAATCCTATTTCCTTATTTTCTAAGCACTTCCTGTGTACTCAGCATTGTAGTAATACTAGTGCTGCTTTGTATTTTCTAGGACGGTACTTTCCAACCTTTTTCACATCATGGTACACAGAGAAAACTATGAAATCTGTCACAGCATACTAGGCAAGCAGATGAAGCTGCTTTTATCCAAATAAGACTGCCAAGGAGCTCCAGCTATTCCAGACCTGGTCCAGCTATTCTTCAGGCTGAGGGGATTAATATCTAGGCACATCTGTTCTCAGGACGTTGATTGGAATCCTCAGCTAAACTACAGAAATCTACAGTGCGGTCTGAGCCTTGAGAGTTTAGACTGGCATACATGAGTTAATTATAAGCATATTATAGTTAATTTAGAAGCATACTTGGGTGAGTTAGAAAAAGATGTTGACATCGAATGTCTCTAGAAACTCTTAAGTCTTATACAGGAAGTAGTTTTGAGTTTAAGGTCTATAATTTTACAAATATAAAAATTTGGTGACAAGGTAAAGTCCATTGAACAAGAAAAAATCAAGAAGTGGAAGATCAAAAGGAGTATAGTCAGAAGAAGGGGCACTTATTTAATTTAATGGAATCAGACTTGGGGACAACTAGAGTTTTAGAATATATTGTGCAAAATAAGTGTTCTGAGGTTTATAATATCTTTAGAGTTGGAGTCAGAGTTAGTCTTAATGTGACTTCTTCCTAGAAATACATTCTAATCCTAGACTTATTTAAGGTTTTCACTCCTAAACTCGTGTATTCAGTAGGGTTGGCCATTGCTAGAATGTAAATTAAGTGTCCCTTATGAAAATTAGTAACTGATAGAACACTGTATTTACTACATTTGATTTCTAATTAGTAGTTATTCTTCAATGCAGCAAACTCAAATTTAGGATTTAGAAATGGCACAGAGACTCACCCTTCTAAGAGTTGTTATTTTCTAAAATATAAAAGTAGTAGAGAAGTACTTGAATATATAACAGTAGCTCCTATAAACTCTCAGTTGAATCTAGTCACTATTAGAATTTATACTTAACTGTGAAGTTTAAAGAAATCAACCTCATGTGTTTAAAGGGAATATAAATTCATTTCTGCTGATAAAACATTATAAACAGTGTCTATTTTTACTTTATTGTCATGTACATGTATTTTCTTTTGAGAACACAGCAAATGAGCATAGCTTACAAACCCAACACTCAACCTCAAAAATGGGATGTAATTAGAGGATAATAATGTCAGACCTCCTGTCCAGAAAGCTCTTAGATAAAGGAATTCCCCCCAGAGTCAAGCCCAGCTAGTTTAATGTAGCCAGAGATGCTTATTTTCAATTTCTCAATTTAAAATAAAGCAGAATTTATAAGTGAACTTGTGTTACATCCTGTTGGTGCTTTAGAGTAATTGACTATTTCATATTAATTGGTATTGGTAAGAATAGCATTTCTGCTGGGGATTAACATATTCATGTATTATTTTCTCATCTGTGCTCATATACATGTTGTTTATTTAAGCCCCCATATTTTTGTCTCCTTTCTCATCTCTTTCATTAATGAGTTACTGTTTTCTCGTATTTTTGAAAGCAGTTATCAAATTATAAAAGTTTTCAACAATTTTTCTATTTTGAGCTAAGTGCATCTCTTTCTAAAATGAGTCTGTGAACTTCTTTTAGAATTCCCTTAAGAGGAAATTATTATCCATTTGAAATTCTGTAGTATAGTTGACAATCTCAACTTCTTAAATCAATTATTGCCCTTCATTATAATGAAACTTCTTTAGTGTAAAGTTAGATTCTCAGTTAACAATATATATCCCTTCTTCAGTTTAAGGTAGTGATGATGAACACAAGTGCTCTTCAGGTAGTCATTACTGTTACATTATTCTTTAAGCTATAATCTTTCATCCATTCAATCTTTAAAACTGCTAGATGAGTTAAAATACAACTGACTCAAAAAAAAAACAAAAAACAAAAAAAAAACCCTTCCCTTTTTTAAATCCATCATCTTGTGATGATTCTCCTGCTTTTCATGTTTAAGTTCTTAACTAATTTCAATTTGTTGGTACCTTGGTGGTATAGGCAAATATTCCTGTTGAAGTTAGTATTAAGACCAAAATTATAATGCTTTTCTTAATGGGGGAACCCTAAGGCTACTCACTCAGTCCATTGAGGGGATAAGAGAGATGGCTCATTCCCATCCAGTTTTGTTTACAAACGATGTTGCTCAAATTTAGGTGACTGGCTACTAGGGAAATAAATGAATGTGGAATTGAGGATGGAACAAAGAATTCAATGCTTTACAATAAATGGACTGTATTTGAGAGTTCAAGAGAGGATTGGAGAAAATAACTGAGTATGTAAAAAATGGTAAGTTTCTGATTGTTCAGTTGAAGGCAAGTGGCTGGCTCGATGAAATGACATAACTGATAGTTTTCATCTGTGACCCTGATGTCTTAGCCTCTATCTCAGAATTGAGAAATGAGCAGAGTTTATCAGAAAGGATTTTCATTGCTGGTATCTTTTGTGTGTGCATGATGTGTAGTACACACAGCTCTCCTTACTGATCCTTCACAGGTGTATTATTTACTTTGCCTTCCAGGTGTCCGCAAATATGGTAAAGATTTTCAAGCTATTGCAGATGTAATTGGCAACAAGACTGTTGGCCAAGTGAAGAACTTCTTTGTAAACTACAGGCGTCGGTTTAACTTAGAGGAGGTATTGCAGGAGTGGGAAGCAGAACAAGGAACCCAGGCTTCTAATGGTGATGCTTCTACTTTAGGGGAGGAGACAAAAAGTGCTTCTAATGTGCCATCAGGGAAGAGCACTGATGAAGAAGAGGAGGTGTGTTTGTGTATGGAATTTGAGCTAATATGAGTTGAGGAATCACCATTTTGTGTGGTGTTCTGTAAGGTTAATTTGTCAGAGGACTAGCTAAATTGAGCATGAAAGGTTGACAATACACTTACTCAGTGGTGCATCTATCGTGACTCTTAAGTCATAATGACATGCTAAGTTCTGATTCTAGAAGAATGGAGAGTGTATTGTTCTTTCATAGTCTTATTTTTATTTCCAGTGTTAAGCTGTTTACAAATAAAGATGCCTGTTTGGTAGCCTTGTTGGTTTTTGGTTTTTTGTTTTGTTTTGTTTAAAATAAAAGAAGCTTGTGCTTCCAATAAACACTGGTGTTATGTTTTTGTTTTGTTTTTATTTGTTTTGTTTTTCCTGTGACAGCCCAAACTATATTGTATTAAGTTCGTTAGGACTTACATCTCATGTGTGTATTTTTGTTTCCTCACCTCTAGGCACAGACCCCACAGGCTCCTCGGACACTGGGTCCATCACCTCCTGCCCCATCATCCACTCCAACACCAACAGCCCCCATTGCCACTCTGAACCAGCCTCCACCACTTCTTCGTCCAACACTGCCTGCTGCCCCTGCTCTTCACCGGCAGCCTCCTCCACTCCAGCAACAGGCTCGGTTCATCCAGCCCCGGCCAACTTTAAATCAGCCTCCACCACCTCTTATTCGCCCTGCTAATTCTATGCCACCCCGTCTAAACCCAAGACCAGTATTGTCCACGGTTGGTGGTCAACAGCCACCTTCCCTTATTGGAATTCAGACAGATTCACAGTCCTCACTGCACTAAAAATTAAATTGGACAGAGCTGCAGTAACTTTTCACCCCATCATTATACCAGTGCTCATCTGACTGATGAAAAAGGGGAAAGAATAATCCTTTCTAGATAATGAGGCTGCAAACTAGTTCTGTGGCAGTGGACTAGCATAAGTGGATGTCTAAGAAACTTTTCGGTTCACTAGACTAAAATGTTATACAACAAAAAGCCTCCAGTTAGCCTCCTTTCTAGAGTATATGTTCAGCAATGTTGCTCTCATAAAAGGAAAAAAGAATTTAAGTATTCTGTATACCAAGTTTTTGTTTTGTTTTTACTGTATTTATTTTATTGAGGTTCTTTATATTCCTGCCTCTTCTTAGTCAAGGCTTTTAGTACAGGAATATTGACTTAGGAATTGTGAAAACTCCATAAGTTTCTTAAGTTAAGGATGTTTGGCTTCTTTCTTTAATTTAATTTTTTAAAAAACATTTTCCTATGTTAGGAGTGCAAGAATAGCCGGCATTTTTGACGTATGTTCATTTTATGCATATTTAAGAAATTATAGCTGCATATCCCTTCTTTCAAAAAATGTTGCTTTTTTTCCTAAAGGAATTTAAATATATTCCTTTAAAAGAAAGCAGTTTAATCAATTGCAAAGCAATTATATGAAACCACAAAGAATGTACTGAACTTACTAACCCTTTAACATACAGTGTAGGGTCCTAGCGCAGAGTCCTTGTTTAAAGGTCATTGACTCATCATCTATTAGTAATGAGAGGATTGGAAGAACAATCTTACTTACAAATGAGGACTTAATTTGTTGAAATATAATCTCTTTAAGTTCCTTGAAAATGGAGTTAATTTTGGAAAAAAAAATTTTTTGTTTCTAAATGCTATCTGCTTTTAACTAGTAGTTGCCTACATTTGGGGACTTCAGAGCATAATTATATTTTGTTAGTTATGTAGACATAGTGGTTATGGAAGCATTTATTTACAGTACCTTTTTTGTGTTTGGTTTCTGAACTTAAAATTGCCCTCATACTTAATAATATGGTCTGCATTTAATATGAAAGGTGTTTTCTTGGTAAATCTCTATTGTACTATTTGGATACATTTGTGTATTCCTTGCAGCCAACCTGTATCCGTGGGATTGGTTTAGGGTTAAATCATCAACATATTTCATAAAATAAATTTAAGAATTTGTTCTGTGTTATCTAAAGATGTATCAGTATATTGTCACAATTGTGCTGTTAACTAAAAATGCTGAGACCCTTTTTCATAGGAAAAAAAGACATCAAGTCTTAACCCATAATCATTAAGCACTTAACAAAGAATATTTTACAAGTGATAATATTTCAACAATGTGTAATTAGTATTTTTGATACAATGATTTCATATTGGAATCATTATTTGTGCAAAGGGACAGATCACTTAGATTGCTATACGAGTGGACATAGGCTAAATGTTTGCACATTCACATTCTTATCACGTGTAGAATACTTCACAACATAGTCAACATCTAAGGCCCTAATTTATGTTTTGAAAGATCATGTGTACCCAAAGTATTTTCTATCACTGGCTTCACAGCATTAAAATGCTATAGATTTAAATTCATTGATTAGTTTAATTTTTGATTTTAACCATTTATTTCCAAAAATACCCTATGCACTGGCATATCTGAAACTCTTTTCCAGCATGGGTCCTGTTCTTTCTCATTGGATTATCTTAAATAGTTCTTGGCCCTGGATTATAACCAGATAAAGTTTAGTTGATTTAAAATTCTTAATATTCAAGAATTTATACGTATTTTTTTTTAAAAGCCACAGGGGACAGTTAGATATCTTAAAATATCTAAAGCATTTTTTTAAGCAGGTAGATTGTCTTGCGTATGTGCATACTATACCTTTACAGCGTTTGTTGTCTTGTCTCTTGTCAGTAGACCTTCAGTACACAGTATGTGGGATATGTCAGTCAAGTTGGTCAGCACCAGCAACTGTCCAGCTGTTCAGTATATTGTGATTCATTAAAAAATCTGTTCTATCCCAGACATGGGCCAAGGTGCTGTATCTGAGGGATGTGCTGTAATTTGATTTACATACATTAGAGCACACAGTAGAAAAACCTTAGCTTAATTAGTAATACGACACATGTATATAGTGAGATGTCTTTATTGTGTGCTTTGCATATTTTGTAAATATTTTGCACGTCATTATTTTTCTTTTTTGTTTAAGCAGTGTTTGGCCTGGAAGAGTGATATGCTTGCTGCTTAATCAAAGGATTAAAGATTTAAAGATGTCTATGTCTTCTATTTTTATATAATTTAATGTTCTATGAGGAATTTAGTACCTCTTCACTGTGAAATTCGAAGTAATGATTTTTATAAAAGCAAAGCTAGGACTTTTAATGGCAATTTTCATTAATTTCAGGGTTATCATTTTTGAAAAATATACACCAGAGTGTCTTTTTAAAATTACATAACTAAAAATAAACCTCACACTGTGGATACAGCTTATAAAACTAATGGAAAAATGTTGTTCTATATGATTTAATTCTAGTGTAATGGATAAAGGTAAAGGCAAGTTATGATCAGAACTTTAATAAGCTTACAACTGAATAAAATAAAATATAAAATAAAGATGAAAGGATATAAAATTCTGTCTTAATATAGGCCTATATTCTTTTTAGGAATAGATGTAGGGAGCCAGCTAAGAACGTGACTATCATTATTTTTAAGAATATTTAAAATGTTGCAAGTACAGTCATGTCCCTTAACAACAGGGATATGGTCTGAGAAAGGTGCTGTTAGGCAATTTTGTTGTGCTGTGAATCAGATTGTACTATACAAACCTAGGTGGCCAAAGCCTACTGCACACTTAGGCTGTATGGTATAGCCTTTGCTCCTAGGCAGTACTGGCAGTTGTGACAGTGGTAATATCTGTGTATCTAAACATAGAAAATGTATAGTGAAAGTACAATCTTTTATACACACACACACACACATATATATATATATATATATATATATATATATATATATATTTTTTTTTTTTTTTTTTTTTTTTTTTTTTTTTTTGAGACAGGGTCCTCCTGTGTTGCCCAGGCTGGAGTGCAGTGGCAGGATCTCTGCTCAGCAACCCTTGCCTCCCAGGCTCAAGTGATTCGTCTGCTGCAGCCTCCTGAGTGGCTGGGATTAAGTTTTGTTTTTTTTTAGTAGAGACAAGGTTTCACCGTGTTGGCCAAGCTGATCTTTTAAGTACTGATCTCAAGTGATCCACCCATCTCTGCCTCCCAAAGTGCTGGGATTGCAGGTGTGAGCCACAGCGTCCCACCAACATTATAATCTTAAGGAACACCAGCGTATTTGCACTCACTGACTGACGTGTTGTGTGGTGCATGACTCTATTTGGGTTAAAGGTACCTAGTTTAGTTACTAAGTATGTTGTATTAATTTTATGTTCCATCCTGTTAAAAGATTATTCATGAATATTAATAACTGCTAACTGGTTAACACTGGGGTGTCAGGATCTCCTCAAAAAGAATAATAATCTGACTTAGAACTCTAAGCAGAATCAATCTATCTCTTTGTGCATGCCCAAAATAAATGACGAATACATTCTAATTAGAGGACACACTAGAAAAACTAATATGTGTATTAGTTTTTTTATTTAGCCATTCATTATAGCTTACATCATTTATAAGAAAACAGAATAAGTGAATACAGAAAGAACCCAAGAATCAAGTTTGAGAAATCATTCCATGTTAGAAAATATCTATAAGAAACCTTTGACATCTAATTTATGGTAGTACCTAAACTGCTTTCTCCTAGGAAAAAGGTCATGTATAACTTGCCATGACTTAATTCTTTATCATAACTGCCTTAAGGGAAGGAATGTTCTGCAGCAGTATATTAATAACAGTGGGTTTTGAGAACTAAACATGACCAGGAATGCTCCTAGATGTGTGAGTTTGTGTCTAAAGGGCCATGTGGCTTTATCTGCCCTTTTTCGCTCATAAGTCCTATACAGCTAAGGGAGAAACAGTGAAGATCGAAAGTTGGGTTAGATGTTTGCCAATTGTCATTACCAGGTTTAAAGTGGACAATTGTTTATAGATAAAGGGAACAGGTCTTTGCAATGCAATAACTTAAACTTTAGTATCCTAAAGCAGGAGTCTGGGTGAGCAGGGTCTCTAAGGAAAAAAAGTTGGTGATGTGAAGTGGAGAGATCTAAGGACAGTCTTCACAATGTAAATGACATAAAAGTTGATGCTTCAGAATGCTTTGTATGTTTCCTTTGGATTATTTTAAGAAAGGTGAAATTTTTATTATATACGATCAGATCTTATTTGTAAAGTACGGTTACCAATAACTAAGAAGATGCTAATAACACAACATAAGGTATCTCTTGAGGGATCTGTCTAGTTTACTACTCATAACAGCTTTCTTATTTGACAGGATTTGGCTTAAAGAGGCCTTTACTCCAAAGACCATTTTTGTCGCTGCACTCCAGCCTGGGCGACAGGGCAAGACTCCATCTCAAAGAAAAACAAAAAAACAAAAAACCATTTTTGTTGACATGCTGCCTCTTAATCTTTTCCAGAAGAGTTTGAAAACAGAATCATTGAAGGCTTGTGGCCCATATGTGCAAAATAGTTGCCCACCAACCTTTAACATGATGAGTTTTCCAACTTTACTTAACCTCTGTGAGCCTCATTTTCCTCATTTAGGGAGGAATATATAAACGAGCATATAGGACCTGCCCGATGTATGTTAGAGGTTTTTACATGTCTGCTTATACCATATCCTTCTTGATAAGGGAAATATATTTTAACATTTTTGTTTGTTTTAAAGATAGAGTGTTGCTCTGTCACCCAGGCTGGAGTTCAATGGTGTGATCTCGCCTCATTTTTTAAGGAAAGTGCAGTGCAGGCTGGGCACAGTGGCTCACGCCTATAATCCCAGCACTTTGGGAGACCGAGGCAGTCTGATCATGAGGTCAAGAGGTTGAGACCATTCTGGTCAACGTGGTGAAACCCTGTCTCTGCTAAAATTACAAAAATTAGCTGGGCGTGGTGGTGCACACCTGTATCCCAGCTACTCAGGAGGCCGAGGCAGGAGAATCGCCTGAACCTGGAAGGCGGAGGTTGCAGTGAGCCTAGATCGTGCCACTGCACTCCAGCCTGAGCGACAGAGCAAGACTCGACCTCAACAAAAAGTGCAGTGCAAAAAGGAGAGATTAACTTCAGTTCAAGATGACAGACTGAACATAGTCTTTTACTTTTCTTACCTGTAACCTTCCCCCGATCCCACAGTATTACTGAAATGACAAGAAGTGCAAAAACCAAAATCACCGTTAGCAGTACTAGGAAGTCAGAGGAGGAGCTACAAGCGGATGGGGATAAATTTATGACAAAAGCCTACAGAATTAAGGAAACTCTAACGTGACAGAGAGCTGAAGCCAGCCTTTTGCTAACAGCCAGCAAAGAACTCAGGCCTTCAGTTCAACAACCTGCCAGAAACTGAATCCTGCTAATAACCATGTGCACTTGAAAATGGATCCTTCCCCAGTTGGGTCTTGAGATGACTAGAACCCAGCTAACGCCTTGATTGCTGCCTGATTAAAGTAGGAAGTATCCAGGTTCCTTAACAGAAACCCTGAGTTAATGTGTGTGTGAGCTTACAGAAACTCGAGTTAATGTGTGTTTGAGCTGCTAAGTTTTGGGAGTAATTTGTTACACAGCAATAGAAAACTAATACGATGGATAAATATACACCATGTTAACAGTAATCAAAAAAAAGCTGGAGTGATTGTATTAATGTCAGAAAAAAATATTTCAAAGCAAAGAATATCAGGGTTAAAGATGGTCCTTTAATAATAATAAAGGTGGCAATTCATCAAGAGGATTCCTGACAAAACTGCAAGAAGAAATATACAAATCCATTATAATCAGAGATTTCAACACCACCTCTCAATAACTGATAGAATGTGGAAATCAAAAATTAGTAAGAATATAGAAGACTTGAACAACACACCTTTACCTCATTGAAATGTGGGATCATTCTACCCAACAGCAGAATAAATATTATTTTCATGTGCACATGAAATACTTCTCAATATCAGCACTACTGACATTTTAGTTTAAATAATTCTTTGTTGTGCAGTTACAATGTTGAACAGAATCCTCCACCTCTACCCACCAGATACCAATAGAACCTACCTCCCTAGTTTGGCAATCAAAAATGTCTCCAGACATTGTCAAATGTCTCATAAGAAGCAAAATCACCTCCGGTTGAGAATCGTTGCAATATATCATATTCATAAAGGACAAAAGCCATATGATTATTGATAGGCATGGAAAAGATATTTGACAATCCAGCATCTATTCATGATTAAAACTTAGAAAACTAGGAATGTAATGAAACTCCCTCAACCTGAAAAGAGCACTACAACAAGCCTAAAATTAATATCACACTTAATTGAATGATTTCCCTCAGGATGGAAATCAAGACAAGGATGTCTGCACTCACAACTCTATTCAGTAGTTTACTGGAGGTTATAGGCAGTGTAACAGGCAAGAAAAAAACACATAGATTGGAAAGGAAAAATTAAATTGTTTTTATGTGCAGATGACATGAAATTGCATGTAAAAAATCCCAAGAAACCTGCAAAAACTTACTAGAATAATAAGCAAGCTTAAGAAAATCAGAGGATACAAGATCAATGTAAAATCATTTGTATTTTCGTATAACAGCAACAAGTGATCTGAGAATGGAATTAAACTTTTACTCATGATAGTACTGAAAAGAACAAAAATATTTAGGAATAAACAAAAATGTGCAAGACTTGTCCACCAAAAACTATACTGCTGAGAGAAAGACCTAAATAAATGTTCATAGATTGGAAGATTTCACATTGTTAAAATGGCAATTCTCAAATTGATTTATAGATTCAATCTAATTCTCTTTTTGTTTGTTTGTTTTTTTGAGACGGAGTCTTACTTTGTCACCCAGGCTGGAGTACAGTGGCACAGTCTTGGCTCACTGCAACCTCTGCCTCCCGGGTTCAAGTGATTCTCCTGCCTCAGCCTTCCACGTAGCTGGGACTACAAGTGCGTGCCACCACACCTGGCTAATTTTTGTAATTTTAGTAGAAATAGAGTTTCACCATGTTGGCCAGGCTGGTCTCGAACTCCTGACTTCAGGTGATCCACCTGCCTTGGCCTCTCAAAGTGTTCAGATTACAGGAGTGAGTCACCATGCCTGGCCTCAATTTAATTTTTATAAAAATCCTAGCAGGCTTATTTTGCACAGACTGACAAACTAATTTTGAAATTTATATGGTGATGCAAAGGACCTAGACCAGGGGCTAGTAAACCTTTTCTATAAATAGCCAAATAGTAAACATGTTAGGCTTTGTGGTCCACAAACTGTTGCAACTCCTGACCTCTACACTTTTAGTTCAAAAACAGCCCGAGAAAATACATAAATGAACAGACATAGCTATGTGTCAAAAAAACCCACAA